GGCAAACCCTAATTCTTTATTTCTGGGCTTTGTGGAGGTTATGGCATCTATCATTCTTTTCCCACCTCTTGGAGAGGAGCTAGATTCCTATGTAATTCCAGGCCCTAGATCACCAAGTCCACGCCTGGACTAGATGAATTCCCTAAAAGGGAGTTAAATGTGTGGTTGTGGGGCCAAGTAACCTGTCCTGATGGACTAGGCATGATGCACTGACCTTGAGGTCTGTGCCCTTAGAGCTCAGAGCTGGAAAGGTCTGTGCCCAATTAAAGCACCTGCTTTTAAGCTGTGAACATTTAAGAGGGAAGAGGAAGAAGTGGAGGTGGTGGTTGGGAGTTCTTTTTGAATGGTGCGAATCGACATATTGTGTGTGAACAAGGAGGGCGCTTTCGGAATTGGCAGCCCAACAGGACTTGGGAAAAGGATCTGCTGATCAAACGGGTTGATGGAAAGCGGTTCTCATCCAGCCCTCCGGGTCATGGTGGTCCCAAAGGTGCTTTTTCAGGAGGCAACTGGACTTTCTGTTTTTTTCTTTGAAGATGTTTCCCTTCTCATCCAGGAAGCTTCTTCAGCTCTGACTGGATGGTGGGGAAAGGAAGGATTTACTATATCCCTTGCAGACACCTGGTCATTTGCATCCTTTTAGAGCAGTGGTTCCCAACCTTTTTTTCGCCCCGCACCCCAAAGAAATTTCACTCAAACCTTGCACCCCCTGAAATTTAGACTTTAGGAACTACCGAACGCGTTAAATATATGGTAGGATTGAATCTTTTCAGCTATGTATGTGACGGCCACTAAATAACGATACTTAACTCTAAAATGAAAACAAAGTTAATCCATTGCATGATAAATAAAAATGCCAACGTATAGCCAATATCCTATTATTTACCTGGACTTTTCTCGCACCCCCTAGAATATCGTCTCGCATCCCCAGGGGGTGCGAGCACCCCAGGTTGGGAACCCCTGTTTTAGAGGGTTGTTGAGGCCACCTGGAGGTGGTGCTCCTGGTACTTGTAGTCTGCAATTTTTTCCTCTGGAAATCCATTCCTCCTACCACCACACTATTCAAAAGGGTGTTCACTGCAAATTGTACAGCTAAAGATCTCAGTCAGGATTCTCAGTCCTCCAAGTCATGGTTGTCCCAAAGGAGCTTTTTCCGGAGGCAATTGGACTTCCTTGTTTTTTATTTTGAAGGCGTTTTGCTTTGGCTTGACGGGAAGGACTGCTGTTTGTTGCAATCCTACTTTCAAAGCAGCTTTAGCCTCCCTTGGTCTGCCCTGCCTGGAGTGACTGGATGAATTCCTGGGCTATTGACCTGGAAGCCTCCCTGTTCCTGGCCTGTCCCCAGATGCCTGTTGCTGGCCCAGAGCTCTGGAAAAGGAGCGGGCTTGGCCATCTCCTGCTAGTGCACACCCCAGAGACATCTGGTCAGCCATGGTGAAAAACAGGATGCTGGACTAACAGGGTCCCTGGCCTGATCCAGCAAGACTGTTCTTAGCTTCTTAAGCATCCCGTATGTGGGTGACAGTTTGCACTAGATCAGGGCTCTCCAAACTTGGTGACTTAAGACTTCTGGACTTCAGCTCCTGGAATTCCTGGGAGCATAGCTGGCTGAGGAATTCTGAGGAATTCGGGGTGTTGAAATCCACAAGGCTTAAAAGTTGCCAAGTGTTGTAGTTTCCCGGCAGCCTGTACAGATGGCAGCAGAATCAGATAGCAGGGAAGAGCAGGGACCAGTCCTGGAGTCTGGAGAGGACTTGGACGAGGGTCCTGCATTCGATGCAGGGATGGGGCCAGGATCATCTTGGAGTTGGTTGCTGCCTTTGGAGCCTTCAGAGTCTGGCAGCAGCGAGGCAGAGGAACCAGGGGAGCCTGTTCCCAGTGCTCATGTGCACAGAGCTGCCAGAAGGTGAGAGCAGCTGAAACAAAAGGGGCAACTCGGGAGTAAGGCTGGGAGTGATTGGCCCCTCACATAAGGTTTAAAGGACAGGCAAAGGTAGAGAAACCTTTGCAGGAAGCAAGGTCATTCACTCTGTTTGAATGACCTTGAATCCTTGAAGCTCTGTGTGGACTTTGTACTTCGGTTGTTGTTTTTTTAGAATTCATTTGGCACTCTAGTTGTTGGCAGCAATTCAAAGGAGAGAAAGGTGGGTGCTTATCTCGAGGGATGTTTGGGACTCATTACAGGCTGGGAATGAACATAATTCCCAGCACTGAAATAAAAAGCATGAACCTAATTACAGTCTCAAGAAGCCTTGGTCAGAACACCAAGGTTGGAGGCCCCTGTTTCGTGCTAGCCCTCCTGCTTAACCCTGGACAGGCCTCTGCAGTTTGACAGGGTCTCTGCCGCCGCCCCTCCCCCTCACCTTAGGTGTTCATATCCTTATTTGAAAGGCCTCCTGGCAATCCACGTCTTGTTTGTGTAGGCCATTGTCGGTAAGGCTGCAGGGGGAAAACAGCCCAATAAAAGGTGCAGCCTGTTCATAGGTCCTCTCCCCTCCCTATCTGCCTTGTTGACTCCAAGGCTGCTGGGAGGGGCGGGCAGGGGCTGGCTTGCAAGATTTGGGACAGGGAAGCACAGCTGAACTGCACTAGGCTCTGCGGTTTGCTAAATGCCTTTGGGGTTTGAGCAGAGTCTTCGACCTGTCAGTTTTGACAGGTTTCTTGAAGCCGTCCAACTTTTGGTCTCTGCCAGTTTCACATTTCCTAGCCATAAAAATGTCACGGTTGTTGCAGCTCAGGGATTAACAACAGAGCACCAGGAAGAGTTCCTTGACTCTCCTGCAAACTTCCCCAGCTTGTGTTACAGGGAATTTGTTTACTTTTTTATAAAAGAAAAAGTGCATAGCCCTGTGAACGCAAAGAACGCTAGCAAGAAGCTACTGGATGAAAGGTTACAGGTTTCGCTCCCAAGTGCTAGGAAAATTCTTCTGGCTAATGAAATTTGTGGGATGCCTTGGTGCGTAAAGCTGCTTGAATCAAAGGCTCCCTTTCACACCATGATTTCTGCACGATGTTTAGTCTCCTTTGGAAAGCGCTTGGCTTGCGCAGGATTGTGGGGGCAGGAAGGAGGGAGGGAGGGAGGCAAGTTTGGCCTCCTAGCTGAGCAGAACCAGCCAACCCAACGGGAAAAAAAGAAGAACTCTTAAGCACATAATGCTCCAGGTATAAAAGGTTTTCCATGCTCCTGTTATGAGTGCCACCAGTCCTGGGATCCTAGTATGAAAAGTACCCCCCATGTATAATTGGTAGAAAGGGGAGTTTTTAAGCAGAAAGCAAATAATTTCTTCCTTTGTGGCCATGAAGGCATTTAAAAGCCTTCCGGTGCAACACACGAGCCAAGGAGCAGCATAGGCCCCCCCCTCTGCCCAGAGTTGTGGGGGAAAAGTGCCAGTGAAACACGGATACCGGTGCCTGCTGGTGAAGGCTCCTTGGAAGGAAGCACAGGATCTGTTTCATTTTCAGGTTGAAAAGTGTAAAGGTGTCTTTACTCTCAGATTACAGATAATCAGAGTTGGAAGGGACCTTGTAGGTCATCTAGTCCAACCCCCCTGCCCAAGAGGGAGACCCTACATCATTTCTGACGAATGGGTTTCCAGTCTCCTCTTGAAAGCTTCCAATGATGAAGCTCCCACAACTTCCGAAGGCAACTTGTGTTCCTTTGGTTGATTGTTCTCAACTGTTAGGAAAATGTCTCCTTATTTCCAGGTTGAAACTCTCCTTGTTCAGTTTCCATCCATTATTCCTTGTCTGGCCTTCAGCTGCTTTGGATAATAGCTTGACCACACCCCTCCTCCTCTCTGTGGCAGTCCCTCAAATATTGGAAGACTGCTCTCCTGTCTCCCCTGGTCCTTCTCTTCCCTAGACTAGCCAGGCCCAGTTCCTGCAACCGTTCTTCATATGTTTTAGCCTCCAGTCCCTTTATCATCCTGGTTGCTCTTCTCTGCACTTTTTCTAGAGTCTCAACATCTTTTTATAATGTGGTGACCAAAACTGGATGCAGTATTCTAGGTGTGGCCTTACTAAGCCTTTATAGAGTGGTATTAGTACCTCCCTTGATCTTGATTATATACCTCTGTTAATACAATTTAGGATTGCATTGGCTTTTTTGGCTGCCGCTGCACACTGCTGGCTCCTATTTAGCTGGTTGTCCACTAAGACTCCAAGATCCTTCTCACAGCTACTGCTATTGAGCCTGGTTTCACTCAGTCTGTATGTGTCCTTTTGGTTTTTCTTGCCTAAATGTAGGACTTTACTTTTCTCTACATTGAATTTCATTTTGTTAGATAGGTCCCAGTGTTCGAGTCTGTCAAGATCCCTCTGGATCTTGAGCCTATCTTCTTGGGTGTTGGCTATTCCTGCCAGCTTAGTATCATCTGCAAATTTGGTAAGTTCCCCTTCTATTCCCTCATCTAAGTCATTAATGAAGATACTGAAGAGTCCTGGGCCTAAGAGGGAACCTTGTGGCACCCCACTGCTTCCTTCCCTCCCTGTGAGCAGTTCCGTCTTAGGCCCAGGACTCTTCAGTATCTTCATTAACAACTTAGATGAGGGAATAGAAGGGGAACTCACCAAATTTGCAGGTGCAAATTTGCACAGGGCAACCCGTGGTTAAAGGGCAGAAAGGAAGAAGCTCTCCCCAGTGCCAGCCCACCCTGGATTTTCCTGACCGCCTTCATGTCAAACCTCTCCCTTGCTTGTTGTTTTGCCTGCAGCCGTAGCAGAGATCTTGACTCCTCCACGGAGCAACACTTTCACATCTTGGTGGAGCCGAAGGGAAACCCCAGTCACAGCAGGAAATAATGTGTTTAGCCATCGATGGGAGGGAAGAACTTGTTCACCTTCCAAGTTTGGCTTCGTTCCTTTCCCTCACCAACCTGTGGTTGGGCTTTTATCCCAGGGCTCCAGGCGGAATTGCAGGGAATTAAAAGTGATTCAACGGGGCCAAGACAGAAGAACCCCTGTTCTCCTCTTAAAAGGTGTGATGCTCTTCTGTTCACCAGGTGACTCATAAAGCCACAGGAAAGGTGATGGTGATGAAGGAACTGATTCGCTGTGATGAAGAAACCCAGAAGACCTTCCTAACCGAGGTGAGTCTCCTTTCTGGGAAGGGCTGCCCTGAAGATGTCCCAGCAGTTCCTTCCAGCACTTCCTTTCAGCAGCCTGGTGGCTTAAGGCCACACCAGAGGAAAGTGACTGAGCAGCACGTTAGCTGATCTCTTCGGGTGCCCCAGCATTAGTTACTTTGGCCTCGGTTTATAGAATAGAATCCTTCTTCTTTTTAATTGGCCCAGTGTGATTGGACACACAAGGAATTTGTCTTGGTGCAAATGCTCTCAGTGTACATAAAAGGAAAGAGACATCATCAGAATCATCAGGTACAACACTTAATAAAAGTCACAGGGTACAAATAAGCAATGAAATCATGCTAGGAAACAGTCAATATAAATCGTTAGGATACAAGCGGCAAAGTTACAGTCCTACAGTCACAGGTGGGAGGGGATGGGTGATAAGGAGTCATGAGAAGATTAATAGTGATAGTCGTGCAGATTTTGTAAATAGCTGGATAGTGTTGAGGGATTTATTTGTTTAACAGAGTGATGGCATTCAGGGGAAAACTGTCCTTGTGTTTAGTTGTTCTGGTGTGCAGTGCTCCATAGCATCGTTTTGAGGGAAGGAGTTGAAACAGTTTCTGTCCGGGATGTGAGGGGTCTGTAGATATTTTCACAGCCCTCTTTTTGACTCGTGAAGCATACAGGTGCTCCACGGAAGGCGGGTTGGTAGTAATTGTTGTTCCAAGCTTTGGGATGTTCCCTGTCTTGCAGGTGAAGGTGATGCGCAGCCTGGAGCACCCCAATGTCCTGAAGTTCATTGGAGTCTTGTACAAGGACAAGAAGCTGAATCTTCTCACCGAGTACATTGAAGGGGGGACCCTGAAGGACTTCCTCCGGAACGTGGTGGGTGCCACCTCTTGCAGCCTCAGTGGGCTGGGCCAAGGGAAGGAAGAGCCTTGTGGAAGCAGCAGCTAAAACATCCGGAAGTGCAGCCCCACTCCCTGGCTGGCTCACGAATCATGAAAGAAAAGGAAAAGGGGTTTGGGTTTCTGGCTTAAACATGGCGGTGTTGACTTTTGCAGCAAACCTGGGCTCAGTGTGTATGGAGGCCACCAGTACCTGGTATTGCTTTGCTTCCTTTCAAGTTGCCCATTTTGGAACAAGGGTAGCCCTTCTAGGCCCTGTGAAATTGGATGGCAAATCGTGGGCCTTTTGCAGGATGGGTGACCTGGTCAGCAGTGACAGTCACAAAATGGCCCCATTTGCCTTCTGTGTGCCCTTACGGGGACCAGGGGAAGACGGCCCTGGTGGAGCTGGGCAGGGCCTGGGCAAAAGTGACTGAAGCAGATTGCAAGTCCAGAACAACAGCAAGAACTTAGCATCCAGAAGCAGCTCAGGTAGAAGAGGAAGGTTCTGTTATTGTAACCCATTTTAATAGAAATAGTTTTAACCTTCGAAGGAGTTGATTTCCTGGCTGGTCGGCCTAGTGGGATTACCATCAGTCTTGCAAATCTGATTGGACCTTTGCCACCTCCTTTAAATCCGGTGAATTAAGGAGACACCTGCCTGAGCTGCTTTCCAATGTTATTTTGCTCTTTTCAACTTAAAAAAGTGTTCCAGCCTTTTTTTTAACCTGGGTTTTTCCCATCAAGGTCACCTTGTTCTTGTTTTTTCTAAACACTCGTTTGAGGATACATTTGGAGCCCAGAAACATTCCTGGAAAAAAATGTGGTTCTGGATGTACATTGTTCCTTTGCAACCTGCCAGGTTATCATTATGAAATCCCTTCAGGGCACAGGAGGAATTTCCTCCTCTTCCTCAAGATTTCCTTAGGAGGAGGAAATTCCCAGCGTGCACTGAAGGAATCGCCTGCAGAAAAACCTGTTTCATGTCCTATCTGCATTCTGCTCTACGCCTTAGTAAAAAAATGGTCGGTTTTTACATGCCCACCACTGCTGTGATGGCAAAACCCTTGGCCGCCTTCCCTGTCTTGGGGACAGTTTAATGAAGGGACTCTTTCTTCCTTGCAGGATCCATTTCCTTGGGAACAGAAGGTCAGCTTTGCCAAAGGAATTGCCTCTGGAATGGTGAGCCCCCTTTCCTGGACCCCCTCCTGGCCTCGTGAAGGGGTGGGTGTGAGGGCAAAAGGTGAATTGCCTAGAGGAGGGAGTGGGGATTGCCAGTTCATTCAGCCGCGGGTCGGAAGGTGTGCTGAAACTGGTATAGAGTCACAGAATGTCCTTGGAGCACCTGAGGTTCAGTTAGTCATGTGTTTTCCAAAGCAGCGAGGGTGAGGCAAGAGCCGGTTTGCTTCTTGGAAGGTCAAAGCACGAAGAACGAGATCTGCCTGCCTTTTTTAGCCCTACAGTAATCTGATGGGGAGGGTTGAGTTCCATGCGAACTAGAATCGGAGTCCTCCGTCTCAGTCCATTGCCCCACCCCAGCTCTTGGGGGTCTTCTCGGTGTAAGGCGGCTCCCTCCTCTGACTCTCCAGCAGCCTTGCCTCCAGGTGTCGGCTCCTCCTAGGAGGGCTGCTCAGCTGCTGGCAGAGGCAAGCGCCAAAGGCTCCTAGGACAGCAGTTGAGGCGGAGCTTCGGGGCTGATGGCTCCTTGTCTTCTCCTTCTTGCAGGCTTACCTGCACTCCATGCGCATCATTCACCGAGATCTGAACTCCCACAACTGCCTGATCAAACTGGTGAGTGCCTGCGTTGCTTGGGGTGCGCTTGGCCAGGTCTGCTTCCTGCTCACCTGCTGAAGTCCTAGGGGGAGACTGGCTCTCCTGGCTCTTGGGCCTCTTCCCCTGCGTGGTGCTGATGCCACGTGTACGAAATGGGTCCCCAAAACGTGGCACAGCGGTGCCTGCCTTCAGCACCAGGGCTTCCTCTACCCCAAACGGTCCGGGCCTTCCCCAGAGGGCTGGCTCATTCTTGTGGATTTTGCTTCGTCTTTGGCCCAGGACAACACAGTGGTAGTCGCAGACTTTGGCCTCTCTCGGCTGATTGTGGAGGAGAGGAAGAGGCCCTCCCTGGAGAAGCCACTGGCCAAGAAGCGGACGCTGCGCAAGAGCGACCGGAGGAAGCGCTACACTGTGGTCGGGAACCCGTATTGGATGGCCCCCGAGATGCTGAATGGTAGGAGCCCACCCCCGCCCCCCCGACTCCTGGACTCCACAGAGGAGCCTGCCAAACTCCCCATGGCAGAGCCCGGTCCCAGGGCTTCGGCTACTGTCCTCTCGTGGGCTCTGCACAGGTGCCTTAAGACTGGAACTGTTGAAAGTCTACGGCCTTTTTTGTTGTGGTCCTTAAGCGAACCTCTGGTTTGCTGTGGGTGCAGTTTTGACAAAACCGTTTGTAAAACACAGTCACGTGAATGGGGAAGGCTGTAAACGACTGTAAATGTAACCTGAGCACCCAAAGTTTGCTCACATGACCGTGGTGTTTATGTGAGACTGTTGGAACCTCAGTTCCAGGTCCTATGTAGCCCCAAGATAGGCCCGTCCTACCATGAAGCAGTTGCTAAGGGATCAAGGACTACCTAGCGGTATGCGGCGAGGACCTTGGGAGCCGCAGCCAGGCGTTATCTCCGCCCAGGGAAGGCCTGGGGCCAGAGCAAGCATCTTGGGAGGGACCCTCCCTCGCTCTCTGGAAGGGGAAAGGGAGGGGGGTGGACACGTGCTGTCAAACTTGCCAGGTTGTGTTACTGTCGCCTTACGATGAAAGTAGTGTTAGCGCTCCCGGTGGGTCCTTCTTCTCTGGATCACCTCAAAGGCTGCCTGGCCTCCCTTCCCCTCTTTCCCCACCCCTCCCCATTTGGTGGGGGAAAGACGTCCACCTGCTGGCTTGGGGCCTGATGTTCTTGGGGGGGGGCGTGGGAGTCCCGGAAGAGCCGCCCTGACACTGACGGGGAAGCTCCCTCTCTCTCTCTCTCTCTCTCTCTCTGCTTCCTCCCCTGGGGGGGGGAATGTCCCATGGGGGCTCCCAGGGCTCCTTGGCAGCTGGACACACACAGGACACTTGCCCCCACCCTGCAGGGCAGCCCCCCCCCTGTTCCCCCCTGCTCCCTTCTGCGCCCAGTTACCCCTAGCCCTGCACTGGTTTTCCATCCCTGTTGTCTCCCTTTTAACGACGCGCCTTCCCCTCCCGGCTGCTTCCGATTCTTGCAGGGCAGAGCTACGATGAGACGGTCGATATCTTCTCCTTCGGGATCGTGCTCTGCGAGGTGAGCCTAGCCTAGCCCGTGGAGGGGGATTGGCGGGGTGGGGGGCTGGGGGATCGATCCTATCCAGGCAAATGCCAGGGGCCGCACCTGGGAACTGGAGACAGAAAGCGAGGGTGGGCTTGGACCTCGTCTTTTGGACTGTCCAGAGGAAGATTCCGTGGTCAGCCACAGAAGCGGGCTTGTCTCTGGTATGGGCTGCTCATTGCTCCCCTTTCCCGGCCAACGATTGCACAATTGGGGTCTTTTGATGGTCACACCAGGTTGACCCTCCGTATTTCCCAAACGGGCTGGCCGGTTCAGACCCTCTTGGTCAATGGACTCGGTCTCTGGACTGAAGGGGGCGAAGACTTCAGGAGGGGAAGCCCCTCTGGGAGCTGAGGGCCGCTCTCCTTTTGCTAACTGGTTGTGAATTCTCTGAAAGATAATGTGGAACTCTTAGCAGCACACAAACAGTTCTCCCATTTCAATATTTTTCTGAGAAAGAGATTGTATAAGAAATAGGAACGTTTATCGTCTGACCCACTGCCTAGCAACTCTGTAATTTTTTAAAATAAATAGCACCTATTTCCCCACATCAGAGATAACGGACCCAGGGATAACAAACCAACAGTTTTTTGACCGCAATTTATTTTTCATCACTAAAAGTCTACCATGTGTCAAAAATGGATCGATGGTATTTTTTAACCACCCATCTCCCTCAGAGAAAGTCTGGGTAGCATACCATATATTGCAGTACTCATTGCGGACTTCCAATTTTTCTACAGTGGCTTATTTCAAACTAAGGCAGCAGAAGATCCGTTCTGAATTCCTGATTAACAATTTTTGTAAATATTGACTGTTCCTTCCCTGCAGTTTCCAAGATTTGAGCCCATTCACCATACGTGAAAACCTTTTCCTGCTTTTCTGGTAGTTATTCCAGCAAAGCACCCATATAATTTTCTCCTATTTGTGGGGAAGGGCAGGGACAAGAACAGGCCTGGACATTCAAACCTTAGCCATAGCTTCAGGGTTATTTTCTCAAAGTTAAGTCCAATCCACCTGGTCCTGTAGCAAGAGTCTTCCACTGTAGGGGAGGTTGCAGGGCCCTGAGCCGTCCCTGCCTGTCGGAGGGCAGTTGATCTGCTTCACAAAAGCCAGGCTAGCAGGCGTGGATACTGTGGCGCCCAGGGAAGGTGGCCAAGAGCGGGTGCGAGAAGGGAGCCTGCTGTCCCCAGCCTTGGGCTGCCTGGGTGCTTGGAGCGGCCTCCTGCTTAGGCCTGGGGCTCCTTTCTCTGGTGAGTCAGCAGAAGCAGCCGCAGGGGGCTGAGCCGCACGCCCGGCTTGAGGTGCCTGAGAGGGAATGACCGGCCATTGCTCTGCCTCCAGATCATAGGACAAGTGTACGCCGACCCGGACTGCCTCCCTCGCACCCTGGATTTTGGCCTCAACGTGAAGCTGTTCTGGGAGAAGTTTGTTCCCATGGATTGTCCTCCAGCCTTCTTCCCTCTGGCAGCCATCTGCTGCCGGCTGGAGCCAGAGAGCAGGTCAGTCTGTGGGTGTGGCTCCTCTGCCCCACTGGGCCCTGCGGGGGGGCTGAAAGGAAGCCATTTAGGCGAGGGAGAGGTAGGCCAGGGAGCCCCCCCACCGTGGCTGATCCTCTCCTGGGTTTCCCAGCCGCTTAAGAGGCTGGGGCAGAAGCGACTCCCTACCTCGGCACAGAATGGAAATTCAGGGCCCGCTCAGCTCCCTCTGGGGACAAAGGCTGGCCATTCTGCTGGGGGGTCTGCTAACGGCGGCGGCTGCTCTGGAAGCAGGAAGCGCGGCTACCTTCCCTTCTCCCGCGTTCTCTCCTAGGCCGCCGTTTTCCAAACTGGAGGATTCCTTTGAAGCCCTTTCTTTGTACCTGGGAGAACTGGGCATTCCCCTCCCTTCAGAACTGGAGGAACTGGACCACAGCGTGAGCGTGCAGTTTGGCCTGATTCGGGGGGACAGGCACTCCGACGATCTGACATAAATCCCACCTCTCGGCCTTCGCTGTGCGGCTTCTTTGCACGGATCGTCCTGGAGGCAGCAGAAAAAGCCTCCATCTCAGCTGGTTTTTGGTTTTTTTGGGGGGGCGGGGGTGGGGGGGACAACAGGAAGGCGGCCTCTTACTTCTCTCCACCACCGTCAGCCCCCAAGGGCACTTCCTGAAAGCACCGTTGTCTTCTTCACGCCACTCGCTTCTCAGTACAGATGCTCTGCCTTTGGGGACCGAGTTCCCCGGAATCCGGGTGTGGACCTGCCTTCCAACACGATACACTACAGGTTGTGATGCCTCCTAGTTGGGCTCACAAAGCAGAAGCCCACCAGGATGCACACCTCGGGGTTGCCTTTGACTGTGACTCCCTGTTCTGCCAGATCAGGCAATGGGAGGGCGACCCGATGGCGTGCACCCCCCACTCCAGAGGAGAACGGCTGAATTTTGCAGTTCGTCTCCCAGGAACAGCTCCGGACCACCTTCTGTCTGGCCAAAGAACTCTTTACGCACTGTGGGGTATTTCATGTCTGCCCTGTGGCCCAAGCGCTGTAGGGACACAGACCTGGGTTGGGGGCACCTTCTCCATTTGAGGGATGGGGGGTTGATGGAAATGGATCCCTGGAAAGGAAGCGCTTCTATTCCCAAACTGGCCGGGGTGGAGCAATCAACTTGGGCCGCAGATCTGAAAGACTGGCGCGTTATAGAGTCACTACCTCTGTCCTCCATTTCAAGCCCCTCAGAGAAACACTTGGCTGGGTCCGCCTTTCCCCGCCCTCTTCCAGGTGGAGAGAGGAAGCTGCGCTGGTTGCATCCCCCCCCCCTCTCTGCAAAATACATTCAGGGCTACTTAAAGGTTGGCAATATTTAGACCCCTGGACGTTGAACATCTCCCAGCAGGTCTGGCCACACGTCCCAAGGTTGTGGGTTATAGTTCACTGGTATCTGGAGGGTCTTCTATTTCCCCCCCCACACCCTTTCATGCTACAAGAAATCGAAATTATACACTGGTCTAGGGTGCGAGTGCACCAAGTCTGGTGCATCTTAGACCAGATTTCATTTCATTCTTAAAAGGTGCGCACAAGCACATGCACTATAAACGGGCCAGCTACAGGAAACCTGGATCATGCGGTCAAGAAAGATGACGTGACTGTTCTAAGCGCACCAATTTTTGTCTAAATTAAAAGCAATAAACTTTGTTCTACAAAGATGAACACAGATGACATTTCTTGAAGCCTGGTTTGGCATTTCGTGGGTCTGGTTCGTTTCCTACTCCTGAGTTGACAAGTGCTTCCATTGCCCCCAACTCCCGCAAGGCAACTGTTTTGAGTTTGTGGTTGTGCTGCCAGGGCTTGTGTTGTTGCACAAATGCACTTGCTTTTCTTTGCAATGCCCAGTGAGGGAAGCTGCTTTTAATAGGGGCATTAAAAGGGGAGAAAACAGACCTGCTCTTGGACAGGAAAGCTGAGGCGGAGGTTTCCTTTGGTGACTCCCTAAAGAGTCTGATGAAAAGACTCTTGGGGGGCTGGGCAGTTGGTGGGGCAAATCCTAAAGCTTTTGATGGGTGGGGAGGGGGCGATGTCTGGGCTGGAACGAGCCCCTGAGAGCAGCCTGGCTGTGGACAGGAGGCAGCTGGAAAGAGAAGGGGGAGGATAGCTGTGTGTGCAGGAGGCGAATCCCACCAAACAAGACACTTACAACCTGAACAGTTTTATTTTTAGGTCTGAGGTATTCAAAACACTTAGAAATAAATGGTATCCAAAGGCATTTAAAAGATTTTTAAAAACCGCTAAGCCTGCATAAACAGAACTCTTTTAAGAAACCTCTCGGCTTTCGGCCCCCCCAAGACCCAGTTCCCTCCCTCGAGTGGTAAAAGGTTTTATTTTTTTAAGAAAAGCACAGCCGGAGTTGCTTCCTTGCTGGCCCCAGAGGCATCAGCCCTACCCAAAGCCCTTCCGGGGCGATTCTCTCGTCTCCAAGCCTTTCCTGCCCGTGTGGCCCACCCACCCCAAGCATACCTCCCCCCTTTGCTCAGACCGGCCTGGCCGCTTCCACCCCTGGGGAGCAGGGAGGGGCACTTTCCGCCTGGCCCTAGCTTGGAAGGCTGGCAGTGCTGCGGCTGCTTCTAAGGGAAACGCCGCGTATTATATGTGCAGCCTTTTCAGCAGCTTCAAGGTGCGCCGGATCTGATCCTGGCACAAACGCTCTCTTCTTTCAGTAAAGCGCCCCCCCCCCCCCCCCCCCCCGCCCCCGGCGGCGCAACGGGAGAACCAGAGGCAGCAAAAAAAAAACAAAAACCAAAGTCCCACCTGGCCCCTGGCATCAAACAGGCCACCTGCAGGGCGGCTGCTGGCTGGAGCGAGCGCTGGGCGCTTTTCTGCCTGGGCGGCCTGTACTTCCAAGTGGAAAAGCAAAGTACGAATGGATCCTCGGGGTAAACGGAGAGGCGGAGAGGCGCCTGCCTCAGGGGGTCCAGCGGGGGATGCCTCTTCCTCAAGCCCCCGGAGTGCCGGCCTGGCCCATGAGTGGAGTGTTCCCCGCCTGAATCTCCTCCTCCGGAGTGGGGTTGGTGTGCACCACAACGACGTTCTCCTCCACCAGCTCGCAGGCCGGGTTGCTGAAAGCCGAGAGGGGCAAAGTGATGCGCTGCATTTCGCGCTCGTTGGCCTTCTGCTCCTGCCGCTCCTTGAGGTCTTTGCCCCTGGAAGAGACCGAAGAGGCGAGGGGTGACTGTGTGTGTGTGTGTGAGTGTGTACCTACAACTTCAGCAGGTGTTAAAAGTGTGTTTTTATCAGGGCAACCTGGTCTACCCAGATATGGGACACAGCAGCACCCTGCTTTCGTCTTTCGGCCCCAATCCAGGAGTCCAAATCAGGAAGTCACTTTTGCCACAAACTTTGTGTGTGTCAAATTTACATTTACCTTTATTTCTTTGTCGGTAAATATAAATTCAGAATACAATTTGTCTTGGTGCAAATGCTCTCAGGGTACATAAAAGGAAAGACATATTCGTCAAGAGTCTTGAATCCTAAGGTTAATGATAGTCATCGGGTACAATAAGCAATCAAATCGTACTAGGAAACAGTCCATATAAACCGTAAGGACACAAGTGACAAAGTTACAGTCATAAGTGGGAGGGGGTGGGCTATCGATAAGGTGTGACGAGAAGATTAATAGTAATAGACTTTGTAAATAAATGTCAGCAGGTGTTGTTTTTCCCAAGCCAGGTTAGGAAACCTGAACTGTCCCGTGGCACTGGCGCCCCAAGAAGTTCGTTCTGGGTGCACAGCCACCGCAGCAGATCCAACCGCCTTCCGTGTCTCTGGCAAGCGACACAGAGCAGGGCGGGGGCTGCATTTGGCCTTCGATGGCCCCCGAGAAACAGGAAAGGCTGCTGCGGGAACCCCCCGGCTGGGTTGGGAAGGTTTTCCTCCGCTCCCCAAATGGCGTTCTAGAAACCTTTCCATCACCACTTATGAACCCCAAAATGCTTCAGACAACTCCCTTAGCTAGTTGAGGAATGAGAGACACCCAACCTTGGCAGGAATAAGCCAGAGACAGCTCCCCTAAATCCCTCCCTACATAGTAAATGGGGCGTGCACCCACACAATCCACCCAATTTAAAGGAAAATGAATTTCCATTTGCTCCCAGCTATCACCATTTTCTCCCATGGCCCTTTGCCATCTGTGGAGCAGTGGGCAGAATGTCGTCCCCTACCCCACCCCTAAAAAGGTCGCCCTCCAGGACAGACTGTCTGGACACATTTCAGATTCTGAGTGCAGGTTTTAGTTGCATTTGCAAAATTAACCAAAGAGAGAAGCAACCTAGAACTAAGAAGAAATTTCTGACCATGAGGACAATTCACCAGTGGAACGGCTGGCCTCCAGAAATTGTGGGAGCTGCATCACTGGAGGGTTTTAAGAAGAGACTGACAGACACTTGTCTGGAATGGGGCAGGGTCTCCTGCTTGAGGAGGGGCTGGACTAGAAGACCTTCAGCTCTATTCTATTCTAAGCTCTAAAAATCTGCAGCAGGTGTGCGGTGGGATGAAGTAAGGAGGCGGATTCCCAAGAGGGAGAAGGTGCATTCCAGAGAAATAAGAGGCAACTCAGCCCACGTATCCTGTGTGAGAGAAAGAGGGAGAGCGCAGCCCCTCCCTAAGAGTTCCCACAGTGTATGGTAGATGCAGATTAGTCCTGAAGTCTGGCTAGATGGTGTCTACAGGTGTGAAACAATGAAGAACCCAGCTTGGATGAACCACTGGGTGTCATTCTTGGTTTTGGGCCCAACAGGATAACACAAAGCTGGGGGGGGGGGGGGGGGGGGATTGCTAACACTTTGGAACTCAAGAGTCAAAAGGCTCTTGACACACTGGAGCACTGGGCCCTATCCAACAAGGTGTAGTTCAGTGGCAAGAACAGTTGGGCAAGAAAAACCAAAAGCACAGGTAGAAGACCAGGCTTAGGATCTCCTGCTTGAGTAGGGGGTTGGACTAGAAGGCCTCCAAGGTCTCTTCCAACTCTGTTATTCTGTTAATGGCTGCAGGAGCAGCGGGCTTCCGGCCAATTCCCCAAAGGTTCTGCCTCAAGAGAGAACAAAAGAGGACCCGCCCCACTAAGAACCTGCCTAAAGCCAAGCTCCAAAGCATGGAGGAGCCCTAAGAAGAGAGAGAGGAGAGGAGAGGAGAGGAAGAGGGAGGGAGGGAGGGAGGGAGAGAGAGAGAGAGAGAGAGAGAGAGAGAGACCTTAAGACAGGAAAGAAAACACAGAGAAACAGACACCCTGCAGCAACCCTCATGCGCTTCCTTTCCAGGCAAGATGGAGGCTGGGGGTTTGCAGGAACCCCAAGGGAGGCTGACTGAGGGGTCCACTTATTAATCCCCCCCCCCCCCAACCCCTACTTGCCTCTTGTACAGGTAGCCCAGCACAATCCCCACTCCGATGCCAATGAGGACCACAACCATGATGATGCCCAACACGTAGCCTGTGGTGGAGGGAAAAGAGAGAGAGCAGCCAGGTGGTTAGTGACACCCCCCCCTTCCACCCTCCACCCC